ATCACGGCCTCCAGAAAACCCAGAGCCCTCCGCTCCAAAATGCACGAGCAGGGCCCACCAGACCGCAGGGCTCCCTCAGCTCCTGGGCCAACAGCCCCCAGCCCTCCTGGCCTGACCCCCAGCATGCGGCCGGACGGCATCTGCTTGTGCCCCAGGTCTCCCGAGGGACCTGCAGCCACGCCGCAGCCAATGAATATTACAGCAAGCATGAGGGAGCCAGTTCCGTCTGCTCTGTTCACAAATTCTCCTGCCCCTTAGCACTTCCTGCCCCGTCTGGAGACTGAGGACTGTGCAGTGACCGGCCTCGCCCTGCTTCTGCCCCGGGCCGGCACAGCACTGGCAAGGGGGACTGGTCACAGCCTGAGCCCTGAGCCCGGCCTGGCTGCACCTGGTGACAGAGACGTGCTGGGAGGTCCTTTGTGCACCTGGCGCTCCGAGGAACCTGCACCAGTGAAGGCGCGGAGCCCCCTGGTGGTCAGCTGGGCCCTCACACGCGCACTCAAAGCTGGGACCTCTGCGTCTGTGAGGTTAACCCTTCAAGTCCTGACCTCAGGGTCCACCTGGATCTCCCCAAAATGTGTGAGGGGGCTTCCAACCACGCGCTCAAGCCCAGGCTTGGCAAGGGTCCCGAAGACCCCAGGGAGACAGCACCCACCCAGAGAGAGGCTTGGATCGTCTCATGAAAAGCGGGTGCCACCCAAGGCTTCCTTGAGCCATGGGATCCCCAGGATGAGCTGCCTTCCAGAAAGTTCTCAGACCTTCCACCACTGGGTGGCTGGTCTTGCACAGAGCCCTAATACAAACAGGTACACAGGCACACACACAGGCATACACAGAGACACACAGGCACACACTGGCACACACAGGTACACTAGCACACACAGGCACACACAGACACAGGCACACTAGCACACACAGGCACACAGACACACACACAGGCACACACAGACACACAGGCACGCACAAACACACACAGGCACACACTGGCACACACAGGCATGCACAGGCACACGCTGGCACACACAGGCATGCACAGACACACACAGACACACACAGACACACAGGCACACACAGGCACACTGGCACACACAGGCACACACAGACACACACACAGGCACACACAGACACAGGCACACTAGCACACACAGGCACACAGACACACACACAGGCACACACAGGCAGACACTGGCACACACAGACACACAGGCACACACAGGCACACTGGCACACACAGACACACACGTGCACTCAGTGGCTACGGAACCCCACATCCAGACTGCCACACAGCTGTGCCAGGTGTGGGTGCGGCACTGCCCTTCCTCAGAACTTTGGGAAAACAGTCCTTAGCCCTCATCCCTTCAGGGAAGAGATGCACCTTCCCCTGAGTCCAGCTGCGGCGAGGATGTCCCTATCGTGGCCACGGCACAAACACGCCCAGTGCCTAAGCACCAGCATGGGAGGACGGCATCACCACCGCACACAAACCCCGTCAGGCGACAGCACCGCCTCCCCAAAGCCCAAGCAATCATGGGGAAGGGACCCTTTCTGGAAATCCCAGCGGAATTGAGCCCCAACACGTGGACCCTCAAGACTGTGGAGGAAAGAGGAGGTCCTGAGATTCAGGGTGTGGCTGCTGAAGCAGGCGCTGGGCACGTGGCCTGTGAGGTCTCCTCAGCAAGGCTGTGCGCCCAGTGCTAGCAGGAGCCCAGAGGTTAAGTAAAGCACACAGGCCACGTGCCAGCAGGTGCTGGGCCCGGCACACAGACCCCACTCTGCTTGGCTGTGGGGTCTCCTCACCTCTGCAGCTGCTGTGAGCCTCCCTGCCTGGGGGGAGGTGAGAGGAGATGAGTGAGATGGGATGGGGGAAGCAGCAGGATGCACCGTGCATGTGCACTCACACACAGGCACATGGACACACGTGTGCAAAGAGACCCAGGCATGCACACACAGGTGCACAGGCACACAGACACACACATGCACACAGGCACAAAGATACACACATGCACACAGATACACACATGCACACAGGCACACAGGCACACAGACACACATGCACACACATGCACACAGTCACGTGTGTGCACAGAGATGCAAGCATGCATACACAGGCACATAGACACACACACATGCACATAGGCACACATACACACAGGCACACACATGCACACAGACACGTGTGCACAGAGACTCAGGCATGCATACACAGGCACACAGACACACACATGCACATACGCACACAGAGACACATGTGCACAGACCCAGCCATGCACACACAGGCACACAAACATGTACACAGACACACATGTGCGCAGAGACGCAGACATGCACACACAGACACACAGACACACATGCACACACAGGCACACACACTTGTGCACAGAGACACAGGAATACACACACAGCACACATGCACACTGTAAATGGAAAATATCTTGGGGCCCAAAATCACTAAAGGGAAAAGTCCAGCCGGGAACTGCTTATGGCAGACCTGCCTCCCATTCTACTCAGTCAAGCTCTGCTCACTGGGATAAATGCTTATCTGACTGCCTCCTTTGAGAGGCTAATCAGAAACTCAGAATGCGAACGC